ACTTAGCTTTTACCACCTCAACAGACAAACAGCCGTCCCTAGTTTGTCCATAGCAGTCAGTCACCCCAGAAAAAAGGCGGCCCACGTGATCTGACTCAAGCACATTACCTTCCCTATAGCTACACGGTACCACACATGAAACAAGCCCACCGCAAATGACGCCCGTGGAACAACGCCATTAGCAAAAACAAAGAAAAGCTTGCAGCAGAAATTTCGCACATGACCTCCAAGCAGAAACCAATACACATGGTTTTAGAAAACCGTGGGCAACAAAACCGACGGTAATTTTAAAACAAATTGAGACCAACTTTCATAACACGTGGTCTGTTGCACCACGCCTATGACACCAGCTCTGTACCCAAAATATTGAACTCACGCATACAACAAGCCGTGGCTTACACGCTCTGCTGTAGAACCTCCACAAAAGCAACAACGCCGGCGAACACAAGACCGGCGACGGTAAAGAAAACCAGCAAGTGTCTCACTCTTTTTCTGTAGCCAAACACGTTGGATCCACATTGCGCGCCTAAGTGCGTTACTCAACTCGAACACCAGCCACGGAGCTACACGTAGGCTGTAACGTCTTTGTCTCCAAAACCCACAATATCAGCGCCAATGATTCGCTAAAACCAGCACCGGAGAAAAACGCAGCTCCGGCGGTATCGCCTAACAGAACCACCACCGGTGGAAAACAACACCTCCGGCGCAAAACGTAACTGCACAACCGGAGAAACAATCAAGGCAACCAGAAATTTGCATCGGTCAGACACCGGCGAAGCCAAACCCATGCACACTGTAACTCAGTTCCAGCTACACAGATAAACACGCAACGCACCACCTCCGCTAACTCCAACGACTGAGACACCACCGAATGGCTTAACAAAAACGTCGACCACCAGACTGGTAATCGTAGGACCACCGGACTGGTTTATCGCAAAAACATGGGACCATCTCCAACGGCAATCAAGGCTTCGCAACCACCATGAAAACAGCACCCAAACACACCCACTGAATCTGAGAAAACCCACTAAACCCTCATCAAGTAGATACTCTACCGACGAAGATGGGATAGTTAAACCCAGATACAAACCATCAAACCAAGACCCTCAAGGGTTCCACGGCTACCAACGGGAAGGAGCTTTCTCTCTCTAGAATCTAGAGAGAGAGAAGCACTCCCTAATTGCCTTTGGGGAATTCAAATTTATCCTTTTTTGAAGAAGAATGTTTCTATCCAACTTTCTTCGTCCTTCTCCATCCTTCTCTATTTCTTCTACGAACTAATTAGCTGAGGCCAGTAATTGTTTCATTAGCTTAAGTGGCCAAGTTTAACTCCAACTAAGTTTGCTCAGTCTCCGAGAAAGAAAATTTTTTGATTAATGGTAACTTAGCTTTCAAGAAAGCGAACTTTCTATGTAAATGTAGGTTAACGGTATTAGTTTAGTACAAGCACCTCATTTAATCTTTTCTAAAGTCCAAATGGTTGAATTTGAATTCCCTTGTACATTCTTCCAATTTCCCCTTCCGTTCTCTAACTTTCTCTTCCAAAAGCAATCCAAACAAGCCCAATGTTTATCCCTAAGTTTCTTCGTGCTTCACCTACCTTCCTTCTCCATTTTGTTGTAGGAACTAATTAGCTTAGGCCACTAATTGTTTCATTAGCTTAAGTGGCCAAGTTTAACTAACACTAACCTAGCTTAGCCTCCAAGAAAGAGAATTTCCGGATTAATTGTAGCTTAATATTTTAGTTTAACTTAATCACCTCATTTAAGGTTCTCTAAATCATCAAAGTGTTGAATTCTCAAGTCCAAAACGATGTATTTGAATTTCTTTTGATTTTCTTCCTATTTCTTTATCTTTTCACTAACTTTCTATTCTTGCTCTCACGTATAATGTTTCTCTGTAACTTTCTCCATCCTTCTCTATTTTGTCCTGGGAACTATGTGGATTAGGCCACTAATTGTTTCATTCGCTTGAGTGGGCAAGTTTAACTCAAACTAAGCTTAGCCTCCAAGAAAAAGAATTTCCGGATAAATTGTAGCTTAACGATATTATTTGAACATAATCACCTCATTTAATGTTTTCTAAATCATCTAAGTGTTGAATTCTCAAGTCCAAAACGATGAAATTGAATTCCCTTTGATTTTCATCCTATTTCTTCTTCTTCTTCATTTTCCTGACACTCAAAAATAAGGTTTCCCCGTAACTTTCTCCATCCCTCTACATCCTTCTCTATTTTCATTAACGAACTAATTTGCTTAGGTCACTAATTGTGTCATTAGCTTAAGTGGCCAAGTTTAACTCAAATTAACCTTGCTTATTAGCCACCAAGAAAGAGAATTTTATGAGTAATTGTTGCGTAACGATATTAGTTTAACTTATGCACCACGTTTAAGGTTTTCTTAGTCACTTCAGTGTTCGATTGTCGAGTCGAACAGGATGAATATATGAGTTCCCTTTGATTTTTTTCTTATTTCTCTTTCTTTTCTCTAACTTTCTCTTCTACCTCTGAAGAAGAATATTTCTATCCAACTTTCTCCGTCCTTCTCCATCCTTCCCTATTTCATTAGCTTAAGTGGCCAAGTTTAACTCAAACTGACCTTACTTTGCTTTCAAGAAAGCAAACTTTCTATGTAAATGTAGGTTAACGGTATTAGTTTAATACAAGCACCTAATTTAATCTTTTCAAAATGACATAAATGCTCAATTAAGTAGCCAAGCTTAACTCAAGCTGACCTTGCTTATCCTCCAAAAAAGCAAATTTTCTAAGTAAATATGGAATAGGGGTATTAGCATGACGTAAGCACCACATTTATGCTTTTCTAAACAATGTAAGTGTTCAATTCTAAAGTCCAAATCGTTGAATTTGAATTCCCTTGTACATTATTCCAATTTCCCCTTCTGTTCTCTAACTTTCTCTTCCAAAAGCAATCCAAACAAGCCCAATGTTTATCCCTAAGTTTCTTCGTGCTTCACCTGCCACCCTTCTCCATTTTGTTGTAGGAACTAATTAGCTTAGGCCACTAGTTGTTTCATTAGCTTAAGTGGCCAAGTTTAACATAGGCTAAGCTTTTTTTGTCTTCAAGAAAGATAATTTTCTGAGTAATTGTAACTTAACGATATTAGTTTAACTTAAGGACCTCATTTAAGGTATTCTAAATCATCTAAGTGTTCAATTCTCAAGTCCAAAACGATGAATTTGTATTCCCTTTGATTTTCTTTCGATTTCTTCGTCTTTTCTCTAACTTTCTCTTCTAGCTCTCAAGAATAATGTTTCTCTGTAACTTTCTCCGTCCTTCTCTATTTTGTTCTAGGAACTAACTAGATTAGGCCACTAATTTTTTCATTAGCTTAAGTGGCCGACTTTAACCCAAACTAAGTTTGCTCAGTCTCCGAGAAAGAGAATTTTTTGATTAATGGTAACTTAACGATATTAGTTGAACCTAATCACCTCATTTAAGGATTTCTAAATCATCTGAGGGTTCAATTCCCAAGTAGAAAACGATGAATTTAAATTCCCTTTGACTTTTAATCATATTTCTCTTCTTTTTTTTTTTCTTCTTTTTTTTCCTCAAACGTTCTCTTCTGGCACTCAAGAATAATGTTTCCCCGCAACTTTCTTCGTCCTTCTACATCCTTTTCTATTTTCATCAACGAACTAATTATATTAGGCCACTAATTGTTTCATTAGCTTAAGTAGCTAAGTTTAACTCAAACCAACCTTGCTTAGCCACCAAGAAAGAGAATTTCCTGAGTAATTGTTGTTTAACGATATTAGGCTAACCGAAGCACCTCGCTTAAGGTTTTCTTAGTCACTTAAGTGTTCAATTCTCGAGACCAAAAGGACAAATATGAATTCCCTTCGATTTTTTTTCTTATTTTTTTTTTCTTTTCTCTAACTTTCTTTTCTACCTTTGAAGAAGAATGTTTCTATCCAACTTTCTCCATCCTTCTCCATCCTTCTCTAATTCTACGAACTAATTAGCTGAGGCCAATAATTGTTTCATTAGCTTAAGTGGCCAAATTTAACTGAAACTGACCTTGCTCTTTTTTTTTTGGGTGAATAAGAAATAATATAAAATAGAAAGATTTACAAAAATACAAGGGGCATACCCCAGGCCCTAACAACAAAAGAACAACACGAGCCTCAGCCCACAGTCACCGAAGCCCAAAGAAACACAAACAAAAAAACTGGACCAGACCTAGGAGCTACATCCGAATATTAGGAGAGCCAAATGAAAACTTAGCCAATCGAACTGTACAAAGGCCATATCCTATGATGAATAGGGACCTTGTACAGAAGACAAAACCAGCAGTCAACAAGCACCACTACAACAGTCAAAAACTCCCTACACAGCCCGTAGGGGTGGGCACCATCACACCCACAAAACCTCCCTACACAACCCGTAGGGATAGGCACCTGTAACAAAATAAATATAATACAAAAATAGTAACCCAAACAAACCGAAGTGATGAACCAAGAGGGGCCCATCCTACCGAATTGCTCAAAAAACCTGTTACACGAGACACCAAAGAACACATGAAACCTCCTACACAACCCGTAGGAGTAGGCAGACAGCAAACTACAACTGTGTACAAGTAAAAATAAAAAGAAAGACCACTGATTAGCTCCCACCTGTAGCATAGCAAGGCGCTTGAAGCAGCCATCACCATGGTACATACACACCCTGCCAACCAAGGTTGTTAAGATCGGGATCCTACATAGGATCGTTTTGGGGGTCTGGAGGATCGGATCGTAGGATCGGATCGGGGATCGTAAGATCCTACTAAAACGATGAAAAAATGCAATTATTCTTATATGTCTAACTAATACTATCAAAATACATATAAAATGACCCAAAAAAACTTGAGAATGTAGCTCAAATGGTAGAGCTCTCATACTTATGAGCAGATCGAGGTTCAAATCCTCGCATTCTCACTTGTGCACTAACAATAATCAATTCAAATATACATTTTACACATTTTTTTAAACAAAGAAAACATAATAAAAAAAGGTGGCAATTCAAGTTGTCATTCAAACATTTTCCTCAAATCTTAACAAAAGAACATACTAAAAGAAAATAGCAATTCAACTTCAAGTCTTCAAGTTAACACTTGCACAACATTGATATCCTTAACAAAACAAACTAAAATAAGAGAAGAATAAATAAACAAGAGGCTAAAACAAGTCATCATCTTCATCGCCGAAATCATCATTGCCACAATCAACAACATTGTCGATCTCATTGTCTCCCTCATCTTCATCATCACCCACAGTGTCACCCAACTCCTCAATGTCATCATCACCAATAGTAGCATCATCAAAGTCATCATCAAAATCCCTTGGAGCATTCATGTTGTCATCCATATCATCATCATCACTTACTTTATGAATTTCATCGACATTTTCTGCAATATGGTCACGGCCTAAGTTGGAGTAAAAAAAAAAATCCAAACTAAATCCAAATTGCAACTTCTAATTAAAACTAAAAGATGTATCATGTACCTAGACTTACATGCTTGTTCCAAATCCCTTGCAAGAGCATCTGCCTCTTCATCTTCTGAATGACATCCATGTCGAGCATTCCTATCAAGCACATGCAACCAATTTCCTTCTCTTGGAAGAGTCGGATTCTCTTTCTCTGTTATCCACTCATCGTCTGATGGAACATCATCCAAACATAATGGATTCATGATTGATTGTCTATTCTTGTGCCTTTGTCTCAGTTTCAAATTGTACATGACAAAGACCAAGTCATTCATTCTCCTTTGGTGTAAACGATTCCTCCACTTTGAGTGTACCATCTCAAAAGCACTCCAATTGCGCTCACACCCCGATGAACTACATGTTAGACTTAATACCCTGATTGCAAACCTCTTCAACTCGGGACATTCATCACCAAAAGAGTCCCACCAATCCCCTACATCGAAATTTTAATTAAGTAGTTCAAAATTTAAAGTTCTTCAAAACAAATAATCATAACATAAGATTGATAGATACAACTTACAAATCAACTTAGGGTAAAAATAAATAACCTGGAGATTTCTTTTTTCTAGTCAAGATTGCATTTTGTATACCAAAGAGTCCTCTTGCATTCTTGAATGCATCAATTTGCAAATCTATCTTCACCCTCTCATTAGTGTCAGGGACCATTTTTTCAAGACATTTGTACAACCCAATTTTAATCTCTGCATCAGCTTGAAAATTGGGACTATAATGAAGCAGAGGGTTCAAGAAGTATGCTGCAGCATGCAATGGGTGATGGAGTTGGGTTTCCCATCTTCTATCAATGATGGCCCATACAGGATCATAGCTGACACAATTTAATAAATATTATTAATGAATAAATAAAAAGTTTAGGGAAATAGTATTAAAGAGTAAATAAATAGCCAACACTAAATAAAAAGTTTACCATCTTAGGACATTATTGAAATTCTTTTGAATTTCCTCTTTCGCACGATCCATTGCTTCATAAATGAATCCCATTGCCGGATGCTCATCCGAATCCACCAACCTAAGTACCTTAATGAGAGGTACTGCAGCCTTCAAGCAGGTAGAAACACCCTTCCAAAAATATCGATTGTCCAAAACAATATTTTCAATTTTTTTCCCCTTTTCAGACTTCGCAAATCTACTATTCCTCCACTTCTTTGATGTAAATAGAGAGAACAATGCACCTTGTTGCTCATGAAGACGTCTCAATGTCAAGTAAGAGGTAGCAAACCGAGTTACCGCAAGCCTTGTAAGTTCAACGTCTTTTGTAAACTCCTTCATCCAATGAATAAGATTGGTTCTTGAATAAATGTATGCCACAATCTTTTTTCCTTTACCAATTGTAACACGATGAACTTGTATTTCCTTCTCAAAATCTTCTAACATCAAATCTATGTAATGGGCAGCACAAGGAGTCCAAAACAAGCCCTTTCTTTTATCCATTAACATTTGTCCCGCCAATTTATAATTAGAAGCATTGTCAGTTACAACTTGTACAACATTTTCTTCTCCAACCTTCTCAACAACCTCATCTAACATCTCAAAAACCTTTTCACCCGTTTTTGAAATGTCGGATGTATCTAGTGATGACAAGAAAATAGTTCCATTAGGGCTATTCACAAGAAAATTACATATGGATCTTCTCTTTCTATCTGACCATCCATCCGACAATCAATTCAAATATACATTTTACACATTTTTTTAAACAAAGAAAACATAATAAAAAAAGGTGGCCATTCAAGTTGTCATTCAAACATTTTCCTCAAATCTTAACAAAAGAACATACTAAAAGAAAATAGCAATTCAACTTCAAGTCTTCAAGTTAACACTTGCACAACATTGATATCCTTAACAAAACAAACTAAAATAAGAGAAGAATAAATAAACAAGAGGCTAAAACAAGTCATCATCTTCATCGCCGAAATCATCATTGCCACAATCAACAACATTGTTGATCTCATTGTCTCCCTCATCTTCATCATCACCCACAGTGTCACCCAACTCCTCAATGTCATCATCACCAATAGTAGCATCATCAAAGTCATCATCAAAATCCCTTGGAGCATTCATGTTGTCATCCATATCATCATCATCACTTACTTCATGAATTTCATCGACATTTTCTCCAATATGGTCACGGCCTAAGTTGAAGAAAAAAAAAATCCAAATTAAATCCAAATTGCAACTTCTAATTAAAACTAAAAGATGTATCATGTACCTAGACTTACATGCTTGTTCCAAATCCCTTGCAAGAGCATCTGCCTCTTCATCTTCTGAATGACATCCATGTCGAGCATTCCTATCAAGCACATGCAACCAATTTCCTTCTCTTGGAAGAGTCGGATTCTCTTTCTCTGTTATCCACTCATCGTCTGATGGAACATCATCCAAACATAATGGATTCATGATTGATTGTCTATTCTTGTGCCTTTGTCTCAGTTTCAAATTGTACATCACAAAGACCAAGTCATTCATTCTCTTTTGGTGTAAACGATTCCTCCGCTTTGAGTGTACCATCTCAAAAGCACTCCAATTGCGCTCACACCCCGATGAACTACATGTTAGACTTAATACCCTAATTGCAAACCTCTTCAACTCAGGACATTCATCACCAAAAGAGTCCCACCAATCCCCTACATCGAAATTTTAATTAAGTAGTTCAAAATTTAAAGTTCTTCAAAACAAATAATCATAACATAAGATTGATAGATACAACTTACAAATCAACTTAGGGTAAAAATAAATAACCTGGAGATTTCTTTTTTCTAGTCAAGATTGCATTTTGTATACCAAAGAGTCCTCTTGCATTCTTGAATGCATCAATTTGCAAATCTATCTTCACCCTCTCATTAGTGTCAGGGACCATTTTTTCAAGACATTTGTACAACCCAATTTTAATCTCTGCATCAGCTTGAAAATTGGGACTATAATGAAGCTGAGGGTTCAAGAAGTATGCTGCAGCATGCAATGGGTGATGGAGTTGGGTTTCCCATCTTCTATCAATGATGGCCCATATAGGATCATAGCTGACACAATTTAATAAATATTATTAATGAATAAATAAATAGTTTATGGAAATAGTATTAAAGAGTAAATAAATAGCCAACACTAAATAAAAAGTTTACCATCTTATGATATTATTGAAATTCTTTTGAATTTCCTCTTTCGCACGATCCATTGCTTCATAAATGAATCCCATTGCCGGATGCTCATCCGAATCCACCAACCTAAGTACCTTAATGAGAGGTACTGCAGCCTTCAAGCAGGTAGAAACACCCTTCCAAAAATATCGATTGTCCAAAACAATATTTTCAATTTTTTTCCCCTTTTCAGACTTCGCAAATCTACTATTCCTCCACTTGTTTGATGTAAATAGAGAGAACAATGCACCTTGTTGCTCATGAAGACGTCTCAATGTCAAGTAAGAGGTAGCAAACCGAGTTACCGCAAGCCTTGTAAGTTCAACGTCTTTTGTAAACTCCTTCATCCAATGAATAAGATTGGTTCTTGAATAAATGTATGCCACAATCTTTTTTCCTTTACCAATTGTAACACGATGAACTTGTATTTCCTTCTCAAAATCTTCTAACATCAAATCTATGCAATGGGCGGCACAAGGAGTCCAAAACAAGCCCTTTCTCTTATCCATTAACATT